AAAAGGGAACCATCCTACACTGCTGGTGGGAATGTAAATTGGCGCAGCCTTTATGGAAAAAGCAGTATGGAGGTTCCTCAAGAAGCTAAGGAGAAGGCAATGGCGACCCACTCCAGTACTCTTGCCTGGAAAATCCCATGGACTGAGGAACCTGGTGGGCTGCAGTCCATGGGGTCTCGAAGAGTCTGACACGACTGAGTGTCTTCACTTTCACTTTTGACTTTCACACATTGGAGAAGGAAGTGGCAACCCACTCCAGTGTTCTTGCCTGGAGAATCCCAGGGATGGGGGAGCCTGGTAGGCTGCCGTCTATGGGGTCGCACAGAGTCAGACATGACTGAAGCGATTTAGCAGCAGCAGCAGCAAGAAGCTAAAAATAGAGGTGCCACATGATCCAGCAATCCCACACCTGGGCACATATCTGGATAAAAGTAATTCAAAGAGGTCCATGCATCCCTATGTTCACAGCAGCACTATTTACAATAGCTAAAACCTAGAAAAAAACTAAATGTCCACTGACAGATGAATACATAAAGAAGATGTGCCAAAGATCACACAATGGAATACTACTGGCCCATAAAAGAAGTGAAATTATGCCATTTGCAGCAACATGGATGGACCTAGAGATTATCATACAAATGAAGTCAGAAAGAGAAAGACAAATACTATATTGTATCACATATATGTGTAATCGACAATATGACACAAGTAAACTTACATATCAGGTAGAAACAGACTTGCAGACATGGTGGCTGCAGGGGAGGAATGGATTGGGAGTTTGGGATTGGCAGATGCAAACTATTACATATAGAATGGATAAACCAAAAGGCCTTACTGTATAACCTAGGGAGCTATATTCAACAACCTGTAATAAACCATAATGGAAAAAATATGAAAAAGAATGTGTGTGTGTGTGTGTGTGTGTGTGTGTGTGTAAAACTGAATCACTTTGCTGTGCACCAGAAATTAACACACTGCAAATCAACTATATTTCAATAAAATAAAAACTTTATTACTTTACTAAAAAAGAAAGACTTTAACCAAATTACTGTTTAATTGTTGATCAGAATTGTCTACCATGAGACCACACCAGAAGCTATGACCCTCATGCAGTTAGGAGTAACATTTGAAAGAAAGTCTACACCAATGTAACCAAGGGCAGATAGAGGTAAGGAAGGTAATGCTACATAATTTTAAAACCAGTGACTTCCTCAGGTCTTGATTTATTTTCATGAAACTTATTCTATCTGAACTTCTAAACTTCATCAAGGTTTTGTTCAAATGATAAAAGCAGATTATGATGCCCATAGAGAAATAAAGGTAGAAATAATTATTTATATCGATCCAACCTGTACTAGCCAGAGCTTATGCAGAGGAGACAGGTTTCTCTACATTTGGCTATTTGTGCCTCATATCCTTTCATTCTACATTTCTGTGCAAGCTACCATTCTGAATCACATTAGTTTTCACACAGTGCTCAGAATCTTTCAATCTGATCTTTCCATGACCAGCAGGAGACCAGGGACACTAGGGCACTCCCAAACCTGAGTTTTCATGCCTGGAATTCTTTCTTCTAATTTTATAGAGCTGGTATTCATATATCAACAATAAGAAATTTAAAAATAAAATCATGCTTTGAATCCTTAGACAGGGTATAGTGAGGGAGATGGGTTAAATTCAGTCTAACCGTTCTGTGGAACAGACTTCAAGAAAACAGGCTCTATCCAAGGCCAAGTCTCAAGTTGGATGATATCAAATGCAGTACTCTTTTCATAAAAGTATGCAATCTTGACATGATTGCCTCAAAGACATCTTATCCTGTTAGGTGAGGAGTGAGAATGTCCTGTAACAGGTGACTCCATAACTACACCTCTGGAGTCTGCCATTCCAGTATGCAAAAGCCAGAAACAGGGCTCTATTTTAGTAAGTATGTGTTTAAATTTTAACATATAATAATCATAGAAAATTTAACAGAAGCAGCAGCAGGAGGAGGGGCAGAAGAGGTTGGAAGATGAATAAAGATAAAGAGGCAAGGAGGGAGAAGAGCAGAAAAAAAAGAAAAATCATGTACAACCTCAGTCCCTTGAGGTAAGAAATGTAAGTACTTTAACATCCTGAGTAATTTGTAATGTTCTCTACACTCTTGTAACTTGCCTTTTTTCTATTTAACATCTTTTTATGGGAGGCAGTGTAGGCAGTGACAGAAGTTGGCAGAAACTGCATTGGTAGTGGACAGGAGCATAAACTCCAGAACTAGAGTGCCTGATCCACATCATGGCCCAGCTTCTCATCAGCTGTGTGACCTGAGCAGCCTGCCCAACCTCTCTGTTACCCCAGTTCCCCATCCGCAAAATGGAGATAATAATAGTAACTACTTCTTCATAGAGTCCATGATGAGGATTCAGCTGCTTGATATAGCTACTTACATCCACTTATAAAAGTGCCTGGCACAAAGTATACTCTATATCGAGGGGCAGTAAACTTTTTCAGTAAAGAACCAGATAGTAAAAACTTCAGGCTCTGCAGTATCATATAGTTTCTATCACAACTCCTCAATATAGCCCAAAAGCAGTCATAAATTAATGAGCTGGGTTCCAATTAAACTTTATGAAGACTGTGCTTGAATTTCATATAATTTTCACATCATGAAATATTCTTCTTTTGATGATGTCAACCATTAAAAAATGTAAAAACCATTTTAGATGGGTAGTTGGCTGGGTCTCTGGGCCAAAGTTTACTGATCCCTATTTTGTATGATTTGCAGACATTATTATGTCTCTAATATCTTTCTATGAATTATCTCTAATAGATGCTTAGAACAATTATAGGTAATTGTTTGGATAACCTAAAATTTACTTAGTCCCCTATGATTAGAATTTAGGTTATTTCCAGTGTTCATTACTATAAGCCATTCTCCAATGATTATCCGTGCAAAATCTCTGTGCGCATTTACGATTAAACCTACATCTTAAACTGCCTGTAGTGGTTGCTACCAAAATTGCTAGCAGTGCATCTAAAAGGAAACGACTCTGAAGAAGTAGCCCTGAAAATAAATTTTGGGTAGATACGGCAAATTTCAAACATGTTAGAGAAGGAGGTCATAAGTAGAATATGTAGCCATACACATAGAACTTGCTCTGTACTACATATTAAGCTTTTATGCTTATTAATCAGTCTTCCAAACAGCCCTGAGACAGGTGCAATCATCATCGTCATCATCCCCAAGGTATAAAAGAGGAAACTGAGGCACAGAAAAGCTAAGTAACTGCCCCAAGGCCACACAGCTGCCTGGTGGGTAGAAGCAGGATTCAAACCTGGTCTTTGCAGCACTCTAGCCATGTTCTTGAAGAAGATGCGGCACTGCTTCTCCACTAGAGACCCCTGGCAAGGGAGCACACCCAAGTACTCACTTTGTAATGTACCCGTGGTCTTTGGAGCAGGCTTGGCACACGTGAAAGACCTCACACTCTAATAATCGGCACAAACTCTGTCCGTCAATGGAACAGTTGGGGTGGAAACTCTGAATGCCCAGCTAATATTCCCCTTTTGTCCTCCAACTCCTCCCCTGTACCTATTTTTCAGTAAAGATTGATTGGGGCATACTTTCATCACCTGGCTTTTCAAATTAGGGGTCCCGAATCTGCCAAATTCACGTGGCAAATTCGGGTGGAGCTTCGCCTACAGAGGAGGCCTGGCGTTGCCACGGAAATGTAAATTTCAGATCAGTACCTTATTCCGATGGAAACAAAACAGTGGCTGGTGCCGAAGCCTCCCGCGTGGGCCCCCAGCAGCAGCAGGGCCGGCTCCCCGAGGGCGCCATCCCGCGTCCGCGACGGTGGGGACCAAACCGCCAGCTCCGCCGCCAGGCTCAGACTCCAGAGTTGCGCGCTCTCCCGGTCCTTCCGCCTTGTGCTCAGATGCGAGCGACTATCCCAGAAAGGAGTTATGCGACTTTGTGGGGAAATGATTCTAGTTTTCATTTCTTCTCCTGATTTTTCTCCCTCCTGGGACCCGACCGCTCGAGTTATCCCCATGAGGATGAACCACCTACGCCGCTGGCCCCAAGATGTTGCCCGCCCCTCACTCGTGCCCAAACAAGGGCAGAACCCAGAAGAAGAGAGGAAACCAGGAAAGAAAAAGCGGGTGTTTCAAATGGACCACGCTTTTGCCGACGCGGTAGCGGAGTTCGACGAGCCGGGAGGGGAGCCCTGGCTGAGGCCGGGGACTCCGCCCGCCGGGGGGCGCCGGGACGCCGGGCGCGTGCGCGGTGCGGCCCCAACCCCAGCCGCAGCTGCCGCGATGCCTATTTTAGTCAAAGCCGCTGCGGGCGCCGGGACCCGGCACCGGCGGAGCAGCATCTCAACCCGGGATCGGCTGAGGTTTTCGCGTCGCGCGCCCGTCGGGTGGCCAAGTCTGTGTCCCCTCAGCCGCCGCTGCTGCCCCAAACTTTGGCCAGCGCCGCCCGGGCTCCGCGCCAGGGACGAGCCAGGTAAGGAGCGGGGGGAACAGCTGCCTCAGGCTCCCCCAGGGCGCGCGGTTATTTGCAGGCTCGCGCTCTCTGGGCTAAATCGGGAAGTGAAAGTTGGATCCCTGCTCCGCAGGGAGCAACTTTGTCCTCCCGGGCGGTGGCTGCGGGATCTCGTGCCCCGGACCACTGGGAACCCCGCCCTCCCCTGGCTGGCCGCGCCCTCGTGGGGTTCCCTGTCCTTGGAAGCCGCCCTTCACCCGGGGTCTGGAGAGCACGGCCACACACCTTCAGATGTCAACTGCTGCCACTCGAGTCTGGCCATGCCAGCGTCCTCGGGTGCCCCGGCCCCATCGCGTGCCCGTTCCCGCGCTCTGCTGCCCGTAATCCCTGGGTGAGCTCGGCCTCTCCACTCCCCGAAACGCTCCCAGGGCTCCCCACCCGCGAACCCAGTATCGCTCTTCCTCACCCCTTGGAGGGCCTCCGGGTCCCACGCGGAGGCAGCGCGCGGCCGGGCGCACCGTGTCGCCCGCCCTGGGCTGCCGCTGGGAATGCGAGGTGAGTCAGGGCGCTCACTGCACACCCCTTGGGCCCGAGAGCTTCGGACCAAGAACAGATGATATGGCCTTTCCTCTCTGAGGAGCGAGGTGAGCCCGACGCCTGGGGCGTGCAGATGGATAGGGGACCCACGATCCACCCGCGCCCTCTCTCCCTCGTTTCCGAGTCTTTGGGAAACCGATTTTCGGCCAGACAAGTCCCAGAAACTGCTGGCTTTTGAAGCAGGAGTAAGTGCGAAAAGACTTAGTAACATAATGCCCTTTACCATTCCGAAAATAAACAAAGGTTCAGTTAGGATTACGGAATGAATTGAGCCAGTCTAGGAGCGCAACTTTTGCTCACTGTTGTTACCTTTTACATTTCTGCAGTTTGGTAAAGGAGTAAGGTTAGTTTCACCATCTAGCTACTGAGCCCTGCACACACCTATTTGAAAACCAGCAGATCAACAGCACTTTACTAGAACAGGGAATGTAAGAAATTAGACTCCAAGGAACTAACACAAGAAAGAAAATCTCTTGATTTAGTCAGAATTAATGTGAATGCTTATCATTTTACCAGTCTAACCTCTCTCCGTTAGACCCGTGCATTCTCTGCATAAGGATAATTCAGTGTAAGCCACATGAATCCATTACATAGTGGTCAAAACAAATTGAAACCAGCAAGATCCTATCAATGGTTGTTGACAGTAGATCACTGGCATTTCAAAACAGAAATATAGATAAGTATACACAGATAAATAGTAGACCTATAGATAAATAGTAGACATATAAACATACAAATAAAATGAATTATATAATATGTTAATAACTATATAGTATATAGACTATGTATTTTAATAAGGTGTACTACATCAAAATATGTTATAAGATTAACTCACCTTTTAAAAATTCATGTTACTATGTCCTTGGTTCTTAAGCTAGTAGATCATAGTTTTCCTGTCATTTTTCTTGACCATAAATTGGTACTTTTAGTTCCACTTGGAGAACTTTTAAAAGGCTGAAATTGAATTACAGTAGATTAGTTGGCAATGCAGGTATAATCATGTGGATGTGAGGGAGAATGTGTATTAATTAACTGACTGTGTAAATCTCTATTAGAGCCACAGGCTATTAAAACTTGAAAAGGTTTCAATGACCATCTAGTCCAGTTGTCTCAATTCCCAGGAAGAAGCCCACCCCAAGAGCAGAAGTGACTTTCTCTTACTTAGGTTGGCTTTCCTGGAGCTTACAGTATAGAACCTGAGCACTCTCCTGCCTTTACTACTAGGCTTGGGGAGACTGAAAGGTAATTTCTAAAAGTGTTTGTAATTTTTGTGTACCTTGCATATGGCTTTCACCTCTGCCTCTGGCACTCTCTACAGAGACTAGGCTTGGATATACCTAGATGAATATGACAGTCTGCCTTGTAGGGAACATAGGGTACTTTGAGGAACAAATGGGACAATGGAAATGAAAACGCATTCTAAAATGCAGTAAAAATGGCAGTCAATTTTAGCTTATATGATGCTAATGCATAGGCTGATGTTGTCATCATGAGTGATAGAGGATATTTAATATTCTCCCTCTTGAAAAAATTGTGAGATTAATTCTGATTTGGTTCTTGAAAACAAACTTTGTATAAACTGAGTTAGTAAAATAATGATTCCACCATTCTAATAGGCTTTTATTTTTATTGATTCAAACATTTGGAAAGTAGAGGATTAAGAGGTACAAGCTATTGTATATAAAATAAGCTACAAGTATATATTGTCCAACAACACAGAACTATAGCCAATATTTTATGATAACTATAAATGGAGTATAACCTTTAAAAATTGTGAATCACTGTATCATACACTTGTAACATACAATATTGTACATCAATACTTCAATTAAAATGTAGTTGAATTTTTATGATTTCTTTCCTTTTTTGCAGCAAATCAATATCTAAGTCAACTATTTCTCATATGTATGAACTGTTTTAGAATTATGAGACAAGATCTTTGACTTGTTTACTTACTGTTTGTAAATCTAGACATGCATGTTTTTCTATCATCTTAAGAGATTTGGAATTCTTTCACATTAGTGTATTAATAACATCCTTGAAAAATGGCCAGCCTGATACCAATTGATTCTACCACCTGAAACATTTACTTCAGTATGAGGAAAAAGAAAGAAATGAAAACATATGGCTTATTGTGTGAACTTATTGGAAGGAAATTCATATTTTTAAATGAAATGTTTAACATATTTTGGGTCTCCATTTGGAATTCTTACCCTGAAACAGAACAATTCACTTATTCTGTAAATCTACGTAATTTTGTCAGGGACCAATTTGTGTAATTAATATAGAAGTTTTAAAGCACCAGAGAAGACTGATCATATAGTCGTGAAGTAGTGCCATTTTGTGTTAAGGTTTATGTAAACATGTATAAAATGTATTTTCTTTGAAATATATTTGCTACTGCTTCTAATATTAAATAGTCAAATGCATACTCATGACCCCTCCTACATAAATAGAACCTGTAAGTTTACAACTTTTCAATTTGTGAGATGCTTCTAACTAGAATTTTTATGGGAAAGAAAGTAAATGCTTAAATTAGATGGTTAAAGGAGTAAATGTTAACTCTCTCTGTATATATAAATGACTATAGTATTATAGTTATTGTGTGTCTATATGTTAATGTCTTCCTCATGGAGCACAGCCTTATCACGGCGAAGGTGCTTGTGTAACTCAAGCCATGCCATGCAGGGCCACTAAAGTTGACTGGTTCTATGAAGACCTACAACGCTTAGAACTGATACCAAACAAAGATGTCCTTTTCATCATAGGGGATTGGAATGCAAAAGTAGGAAGTCGAGGTATCTGGAATAACAGGCAAGTTTGGCCTTGGAGTACTAAATGAAGCAGGGCAAAAGTTAACAGGGTTTTGTCAAGAGGACATGCTAGTCAGAGCAAACACCCTTTTCCAACAACCCAAGAGAGGACTCTACACATAGACATTACCAGATGGTCAATACCAAAATCAGACTGATTATGTTCTTTGCAGTCAAAGATGGAGATGCTGTATATATTCAGCAAAAACAAGACCTGGAGCTCAGATCATGAGCTCCCTATTGCAAAATTCAGGCTTAAGTTGAAGAAAGTAGGCAAAACCACTAGGCCATTCAGGTATGACCTAAATCAGATCCCTTATGACTATACAGTGGAAGTGGCAAATAGAGTCAAGGGATTAGGTCTGGTAGACGGAGTGCCTGAAGAGCTGTGGATGGAGGTTCGTAACACTGTCCAGGAGGCAGGGACCAAAACCATCCCAGAGAAGGAGAAATGCAAGATGGCAAAGTGGTATTCTGAGGAGGCTTTTCAAACAGCTGAGGAAAGAAGAGGAGCAAAAGGGAAAGGAGAAAGGGAAAGATATACCCAACTTAACCAACAGTTCCAGAGAATAGCAAAGCAAGATTAAAAAAAGCCTTCTTAAATGAACAATGCAGAGAAATAGAGGAAAACAGAATAAGAAAGATTAGAGATCTCCTCAAGAAAATTGGAGATATTAAGGGAACATTTCATGCAAGTTCAGTTCAGTCACTCCAGTCATGTCCAACTCTTTGCGACCCCATGGACTGCAGCTTGCCAGTCTTCTCTGTCCATCACCAACCCCTGGAGCTTGCTCAAACTCATGTCCATCGAGTCAGTTATGCCATCCAACCATCTAATCCTCTGTTGTCCCCTTCTCCTTCTGCCTTCAATCTTTCCCAGCATTAGGGTCTTTTCCAGTGAGTCAGTTCTTCGCATCAGGTGGCCAAAGTATTGGAGCTTCAGCTTCTGCGTCAGTCCTTCCAATGAATAATCAGGACATGGAACAACATACTGGTTCCAAATAGGAAAAGGAGTACATCAAGACTGTATATTGTCACCCTGCTTATTTAACTTATATGCAGAGTACATCATGAGAAACACTGGGCTGGAGGAATCACAAGCTGAAATCAAGATTGCTGGGAGAAATATCAATAACCTCAGATATGCAGATGACACCACCCTTATGGCAGAAAGTGAAGAAC